GATAAACAATTACATACAGAAATATCAAGCTGAATGTCGTCTGCGTCTCCACCGTGCTTATATAGACGTTTCTTCGCGATTTCGATAATTTCGTTGGAAACTTCCTTAAATAGACATTTCAGTTTATTTCTACTAATGAATGCACTAGAATCCCATCGGGTGTGTTCGCACCAGAATAAGTTTTACTCTTGTTGAAATAAGTAACACGTTTTCAGAACCGTTCAATAATATAGGAGGCATATGCAGACGATGCGCAAGTACGGAAAGATAATGATTAAGAAACAGCAGTATGAACGGATGACGTCTGAACAGCGTAGTTTCTGCGACAAGGTCAAGAGACTAAAGAGCACATTCGAGAACTCGTGGTAGCGGTTGCGAAGTTTGAATAAGATCAAGCTGACACAGTTCTTGGTATAAAAAAGCATGAAGAACATTTGGGAAGCCTTTCAGCAGGTCCCTGTTTCTTACTGATTTTAAGCCTTGCTACGAGCATGCAAAGTAGAGAGACATTAAGGATTTCTCGGATGCCATTACCGCCAATGCGGGCGCTGGTTGTCGGGGATTAGGAGAATATTCGGCCCTTTTAGGTGAACTCCACAAAAACATCAGCCTTTCTTCGAGGTTGTTTAGAGGACATTATGCGAGACTTCACTGCTGTACCAGTCTTGAGTATCACACCTTCCTGGCCCCACCCAAAACACAATCTTTTCCAATTGTCTCTAACTTCTCCTTTTCCCTCGGCATTGTTGTAAATTTGATGTTTTACTTCTGAGCCAACGAGGTTTGTAGGTGGAACTTTATTAAAGGCCTAATGTTTCAACCAGATCGTCGTCCTCAGAGGTCAAGTCCACCGCGGCATGATCGGTAAGTGTTAGTCTTACTTTACTCACATCCAGGCGTTGATCCGCTCATGCCGCGGTGGACTTGACCTCTGAGGACGATGTTCTGGTCGAAACGTTAACCTCTAATAAAGTTTCACCTCCAGAACCTCGTTGGCATCACAAGTAAACATCAAATTTAACAGTGCTTCTCCGTATAATTCTGTTTTTTTTGCATCTGTTGACAGTTCTCTCTTGAGGGATCCTTTCAAACGCCATTCAAGTCCACTTTACGTTAGCGACCTGTTCTGCACGAAATTCACCTCATATCTGCCCGCAAATAATTCAATTCTAATGTAATTTAATTAAATTAACAAAAGAATGCTTAATCCTGCGTACATTCGTGAAAGGCAATCTGTGGCAGTGAAGGACCCACCTCTTGAGTGGAGTTTTTAACGTCAATATATCTGCACAGGTCATCGTTGGCGTAATGGCAAGAAATTGCTTTGCGGAAACCTAAATCGTGCATATATGAAGTTGATGAGGTCGAAGAAGAAAATAAAAATGTGAACAATGAGTCGATATTAAAGGGGAAGTATAAATCAGAGAAATAGAAAAATGGTTAGCGAGAGCCGGAAAAAAAAATGCCAAGCACCAAAAGCTGCCCCGAACTGAAAGCTGCAGTAAGGAGGAGGAGAGAACAAATGGTAAGATTGCTAGGAGGAAAGAAGGAATCGGATATTAGTCTGACATGAGAAAATGAGGTAAGAAGGTAAATGAAGAAAAAACAATCATGAAAAAGTAGTATTTGTGAAAGCAAAATGGGAAACGAAAGTCTGTGATATCAGCCAAAACGTTTTTGAGAATGGAATCTATTGGAGAACAAGAAACAGCAAACTGTATGCGTAAGAACAGAAGTACCAGTAGTGCTGGAAGCTAGAAGCTGAAAAAGAAAGAAAGAGCTACAACTCCCTCCCCCCTCCGAGGAAGGAGTTACGACAAAGACTCAGACAAGAAGAAGAAAGCAACAAGTTCAAAAGGACAGCGAGAGAACCGAAGAAGAAAAGACAAGTGCAAAATTATGAGAAGAAAAACATAGTGAAGAAAATGAAAATGTCGATGGTATTGCAGAGAGGTCGATCTGATCATTGCATTTTACCGGTTTCTCAAGGTGTAACAGTAGAATATTTCTTTTTACATCGATACCTTCGGTTCTGTTCGCTCCAGAGCCGTGGATGAGAATTGGGTGGAAGAATACGGTGTCACCAGCTTCCATCTCAACATGTAATCGTGGCATTGTCGGGTCGTAATCTTGGATACCGTGATAGGCTTTGTTAACGCCTCCCTGAACAACCATCGATTCCACGGTTAAACTCACGTCAGATATGATTTCGCAAAAACTCCCAAAGTCAGACAAAGAATCTGTCCCGACTGGATTCTATGTAGACGATTTAGTTCGAGGTTTGTTTTGACGTTTCCTTCACACCTATGCTATGACCTCACCTCCCATTTCGGATAGCTGTGAGGAAGCAGCGTTCCTTTGTGCGTTCCCGGTACCACAACCAAACATCCATTTGCACGGTTCACCTGTGAGGTCTCCATTTATATAATGTCAGTAACGAACACCAGTTTAGCACCGTAAAACTAACCCTTTCCATGGCCGTCCATGCACAACAGATAAAGTCTGCTGGTCGAAAGGGGAAATAGTGCAGGTCCTGATGCATCGGGTGACGAGAAGTGAGTTTTCCTGGAAACATAAGCCCCACTTCAGTTCACTATAATCCCGCAGAAACTCAAACAGCTCAAGAAGTAGAGTAGCTGACGAATTTGGTACACTTCCCGAATAGGTGCGCTCCCTCTTAATATTACTCAGAGTTTCGTGAAAATGGTATATCAAATGGGCTAGTATTTCATTGAAGAATGCTGCGCCATGAGCAAAAGTCTTAACTTCTGACGGTGCTCGAATCCGCACTTCAGGCGCTATCTGATGCACAGTGTAGACTATAACATAGAGTACGGCGTAATGAATAGCGCACTCATCTGGAGAGCGGGATCGAGGGTTCGAGTGTTGAGTTGAGAGTTTACACATCGCGCGTGTGATAAAATTAGAGCACATGCACTAGCGTCCAGCTTCTCTCTTCAGCAAAGTGGTCATCATCAGAGATCCAACCTCTCAGCGGGAAGCCGCCGCTCTGTAAGTTGTTACAACTAGTTGAGCGGCCGCCGGCGGGACAGTGTCAGGAGCCCTATAGCGGCGCTCTCTACCGCTTGTGATTTTCTACGGCAGGCCGCCCGTCCACTGGTAAAAACGCAGCCTCCCAACTACAAATGTCTTTGCTCAGTATCCACTGGTTAGGAAGGCTGCACAAGAACTATTGGTTGAAGCCCCACGTTCGTCCCGCGTTTCCCATGCAAAAGCAACAAAACCTGAACATAAATCTACGTAAGCAACAAAAGCAGTCCTACTACGTATAATCCGTAATCCGCTGAGTTTGCGGGGAGGGCATCAGATTATAGGGGCACCTCACCAAAATAGGGCGTTGGTTCCTGGAGAAGACAAAGGGGAACGGTTGTTTGATAACTGCTGTTTAACGCCGCGCAATCCGAAAGTTATCACAAGAATGCTGAGTTGTGGGCAAAAGTCGGACCACGGACGGGATTCGAACCCGCATCTTCTGCTTACCGGGCAGTTGCGTTCCCTATTACGCTACCGAGGCCACTTTTGACCACTCAGCTCAATGGCTATTTGTGCCATAGCCTTACAGCACTCACACGTTCAACGTGATGAGCCGGTTAGCCGATATCGGCAGTGAACCGCAAGGCTGAAGGCTTTTTACAAGTTTCAAGCTGTTATTGTTTGATAACTGCTGTTTAACGCCTCATGGTCAGTGCGCGATCCGAAAGCTATCACAAGAATGCGGAGTTGAGGCAAAAGTCGGACCACGGACGGGATTCGAACCCGCATCTTCTGCTTACCGGGCAGTTGCGTTTCCTATTACGCTACCGGGACCACTTTTGATCTCTCAGCTCCATGGCTATAGCCCGTCAAGCAGAAGATGCGGGTTCAAACTCGTTCGTGGTCCGACTTTTGCCCACAACTAAGCATTCTTGCGATAACAAAGGGGACCATTTTTGGATAGGAGAAAGTTATAACAATTGAACCTGTCGCTAAATTCATGGCGAATTGAATCCGTTATACAACTGGCACCAGTCGGCATATACGTAGGCTGCCTTTTATATTTCGGGATTCGGCAACCCCAGTGTTGCAGTCTGGCAGCTGACAGCTCTATCGTAAAGTTTGACCTTTTTGAGGTTATACGTACTCAGAACATTTTGACATATTGACGCCCGCTCTTTGGTTTGTTTTTACACTAGCTTAAAATATTTTGGTCGGCCGTTGGTGAGGACAACATGTTCAACGCGAACAAATTTTTTGACAGTTAAATGTTCATACAATATTGAATGTATCCTGGTCCCCTTGAAGCTTAAGGTTGTCTTGGGTTGAAAACCAAACATGTTGTCCTCACCAACGGCCAACCAAAATAGTTTAAGCTAGTGTACACAACACCAAGAGCCGCGTCACAATGTCAAAATGTTCTGAGTACGTATAACCTCAAAAAGGTCAAACTTTACGATAGAGCTGTCAGCTGCCAGATTGCAACACTGGGGTTGCCGAATCCCGAAATATAAAAGGCAGCCTACGTACTACTGCTGCGGGTTAAGAATGCATGAAACAATGGAACGCTTCAAGTGCAGGAATGCTGAGAGCAGTGGACTTTTCAGGGGCGGGCCATACATGCATTAAAGTAATAGAACACCTTTCTCAAGTATCTGACAGTCTGCTTATGCTTCCTCGCATGATACGAAGGCATTTTCATAGCAAAGTCAAAGGGATGACGAAGGGATTGGCACTGTCAATTGCCTTAAGATTTGATGTACCAGAAGTCAGAGACCAGAAGACTAGTGTTTGATGTAGGCGACAGTATGAGTTAGGACAAAATGTTATAAAAAATAATTACCACTATCCGGCGGTTTGTTAATAAGCATGGTGTGCATCGCAAGAAGATTCGAATTTTTTGAACCAATCAAATCTTTAACGACGTCGACAACCTACAATGCGAAATTTCAGTCAAATAGAATTACCTTGAGGACAGTAATCACCATATATACGAGGCTAGTGGGTCCGTAGCTGCAGAAATGTGACACTTCCTCCCCCATTTTGCGAACATTTTCCTCGCCGTGACAGTGATACCACCCAGCAGTGACTTCGTTCAGGAATGAGGTATCTCTTTATGGAAGGGCTTCGGTTTATCCGCCTCGGGTTTCTTTCCCAATGGCTCGTCCAACACAGCTCGCGATTGTTCTGCACTAAAAGTGCCAGCATACCCCACAAGTGCAAGGGAATGGGGCTACAGGGTAGTGGTACCCGAGTGCGGTTTCCACACTCCTCCCGAGCTACCCTAAAGTGCACCACTTGCACCAGTGCCAAGGTGCCACAGCGAAACACGACTCAATGGCAGAGAGCAAACAGAAGTGTGAGGGCGAAGACAAGTAGTGCATTTTGGCTACGGTTAGGCGCGTGGCCTGTCGTGAGGCAGCACGGGCGGAGTACGGAAACGGTATTCGGGTATCACTACTCTCTCATTCCAGCGCGCGTTTGGCCGGAGAAGGGACTACGCTAGTGTGGCTCAGGACCCATTCAATAAAGGAAAAGGACTACGATCCACGGAGGTGACTAAACAGTTTTTCTCCAATATTCTTACATAGCAGCTATTTGGATGAAGCGTGGGTGGGGGAGGGGGTACATGAATGGCTTCTTCCTATCGACCCTGTGACGTACTCCATGCATCTGGCTTGGAATTAGGGTCGTGGATTGAATGAGTATTACTTAGTTCCACTGGCTTACTGGATGCGCCCGTACTTCAACCCCTACAGCATCATTTCAGCTAGTTCAGAAGTGGATTCGCAACGCGTATGTCAAAATGTACCTAAAGGCACGGTCCGCGATCAGGTATCGAAGTTGAAAATATGGCGTCAGGAGGTTAGAGTGGTCCGCGACGAACAACCTTGTACCGGTTTCGCGGCAAAAATTCTATGGGAGGGGCGCTATAGCGCAATATAGGTTCAGTGGTTCCTCCTTTTTTCCAGTGACTCCGCCTCCAGACTCCGCCTCTATTCAGTGAAAAACGAGATTGCAGGACGAAAAAGCATGAAAATCGTCACTTGTACGATCGTAGAGTTCTTATCGGTGAATCAGCTGTGCGTATGAGGGCGTAGTGTGGGAGATAGAGTTAATTGGGCACGTACAAACTGGGATCAAAATGGGGTTCTATCTAGGGCAGGTGGCATGTTTTTGTGCTTTTTCTTCACTGTCGAGTTACTCAACCCCTTGTCGTCTATATGGAACCCCCCTAATCCACCATCTGAGATGGCGAATAATCGCGGGTTCCGCCTTTAAGTATGCATATGTCTTGGTGATGGTAAAAAGTAAACGGGAGTCAAGTGCGTGGAAAACCCCAAAAGTACTCATCGTTAGCAGTCCCTCCTTTTGCAAATTTCATGGGAGATACTAAGGGGGACTCACGTAATTTCATTTGTACTGTACTGCACTGTGATGTAGCGATAAATCTAGGTGAGACAAAAATACTAGAAACATCAAGCTGACATTACCCCTTTGTACTGGCAGTAATCAAACAGAACTGGATCGTCTTGAAAATCTTGCACTTTGGTGATTGCCTTTTCCCCAGAAACGAATTCCGACTTGGCGATAGCGACGTCCCTCATCACCGTCATGTTTGCCGGCACGTCTTTCTTTTGACAGATGTCCTGCAATATGAAAAGTTAAGGTAGTTGAAGTGCTACTAGGGGAATTCACACTACATTATCTTTGAATATGTCTGTGTGTGTCATGCATGTGACTACATCTGTGCCACAAAAATCGCATCTGTGCGGCATGAGAAATCATTTGGAAATGAAGGGCTAACATGAAAGGGAAAATACGCGGCGTGAAGTTCAGTGAACAGCTACTAAGAAATTGGCGGAGCTCCCAGACAATGATTGTATGGAACGAACAGCATTTCTGCTGTATAGACCAGGTTTGCAATTTGATTTTGTCGCGACAGTGAGGGTAGATATAGTGACATCATTGTTCGGCGGTCGAGAGTTCTAGAAGGAACCCATCCGAATCTGTACTTTTCTCCAGGACAACCAGTAGCAGAAAACACTGCCGGTGGGTTAAAGGCAGTTGGCACGATGGTTTCCTACTTAGCCTAAAATGCTAGTAGGGCGCTGTATAGTGGGGAAATGGCGAAAGAACGGAGTGAAACGGTCAAAATCCTGCGAAGAAAAAGCCTCCGTTCTCAGTGACTTGAAAATCGATTTCGGACGAGTTTCCCGTAGGCATCTTACCAATCACCGCTACCGAAGATACGGCTGCATATGTGTACCCATGTATATGCATGCAGCATCACGGCCGCTTCATACCAATCCCTTCGCTTCATAATTTGCTTAGCAAATGAATGAATACGAGCGTCAGGAACGGTCGTCCATTTGTGGGCGGGCGGGCGGGCGTTTGGGACGTAAAGTTGTGGCTTGATAGGGCCCTTATAAGGGCACCTTCCTCGGGGAAACCGCTATGCAGCGCCTGCCCAGGGTCGCGGAATTCTATCCTGCCAGGAGTATTGATCCTAGTCGTCTTGGGGATTTATCGTGCCAACTGCCTTTAACGTCTTCTGACACCACGGGGGTGTCAGCTATAAAGATTAAAACGGCTTCCAACTGTCCTTGGAACCAGCTGTATGTTGAGCGTATGTGAAGAGCCTACATAGAAAGTTTTATGAAAGGCAACGATTGAATACCTTAAATCTTTGCTTATAACGTTCGAGCTCATAGACAGGCACGCAGTTCCTTATGAGTAGATAGCCATTCTTTTCGTAGAACTGCTTTTGCTCCTTCGACAGGACCGTGCCGTCTGCGTCCCATTGCAGGACACCTTGTCCAATTGTAGACATTATCAACTTAACCAGTCTTGGTTGAGAACAATGAAACATTGGACCATTCGACTTGGAACGAACCGCATTGGCAAAAGCATACAGTGAATTTGTGAATACCTAGAGTATGACGGGAATTTCATCGATGAAGTTGAATTACAAAAGGAGGGACAATAGCAAAGGTGAAAGAAAGAGCGAGAACCAAAGGAAGTACCAAGTAAAATCGTTGCTTAACGACCCGTTTAAATAGTACTTCTGATCATGGAACTGTGAGGAGACTTGTACGAAATTTCCACTCGCTAATATCACATGACATAATTGCGCAGACTGTCAGGCTGGTGCCCACTTTCACAACAATCTAACAACACAGCGTGTTCTGAGCGTGTCGGCACCCAAGCAAACTACTGACCAGGCTACATTCTCTGATAAGACCATAGTCAGTGATACCGTTCAGCTGAGCTTTCCTCTTTGCAGCGACGCTAGTGGACCAACAGCAGAAATACTGTGTTGGAAAAAACCTCGAGTATCGTCTACACATTCCCTGGATTGGATACGATAAGTCGCATGGATGCAGGTATTATCCTGGGTTCGGATTCGATTATAGTAGGAACCTCACGCTTGCCTTTCATCCATTTCCCAACACTTATTTTCCTTTCGCTCGCTGCAAATGTTTATTTCTGTGGTTAGAATTTAAATGTCAACTGTTAACTGTGTGGGCAGACCCAAACGCTGAAGGTGAGCGTTGCGCAAACCACATATCGTTGGCAGACGCAGTCAGTAGCCGCAATCATGACTTTTTTTTTTTTTTTTTTTTTTTTTTTTTTTTTTTTTTTTTTTTTTTTTTTTTTTTTTTTTTTTTTTTTTTTTTTTTTTTTTTTTTTTTTTTTTTTTTTTTTTTTTCCCCTCCCATTATAACTGGTTGGCAGGAAAGTCTATCAAATCTATTTTTTCTTCATTTTTGATTCAGGGTACAGGTGACCTTAGGAACAGGTCGACGATCTCCTTCTCCCAGAAAACTAGCCATGAAAACATTCCTGCTCCACAGTCTGCTGGTGGGCCACTTGAAGCAAGTTAGGTCTCGCATTACCATTACAAAGCGCAACCGCTTTCTCTCGAAGTTTTCTTGAAATTGTGGGTCCGAGTGGCGTAAATCCTTACGGATGACCTTGCCCGCAGTACAGCGTTCCCTTTGATATACAGAAACAGCAGGAAATTGTTCTCAAGGCACTTGTCCTAATTGGTGGACGTTGGTGAGTTTTCTCTCAGAGGAAGCAGGAAGGCTGTAAATTGAAGTTTTAGTGTACTCAGTACTCTCCAGGATAGACCTACACATGTACCTGGATGCCTTATGCCGCTCGCCTCCCGCTCAGGGCCCAACTCCAGGTAGTGGGAGATTCCCGGGAAATACCCCCCCCCTCGTACCACCTTACCTACGATATCCCCAAAATCTCGTTAAAATGCTGCCTTCAAGCCGGGAAAACGAAGACAACTCACCAAGTTAAACGTGTGAGTGCTGTAAGGTTACGGCATAAGCCGTTAAGCTGAGAGGGTAAAAGCGGCCCTGGTGGCGTAACGGATAGCGCACTCGCCCGGAAAGCGTGAGGTGCGGGTTCGACTCCCGCCTGGGGCACGACTTTTGCCCACAACTCAGCATTCTTGTGATAACAACTCAAATCGGCCATCAGTATTTATAATTTTGCGGCGGGTCATGGAAGGACCGAGTAGCCACCTGGATGCGCGAAAATACTGAGCGGTTGTGGAATGACCGGCTCGAAACAGAACGGTAGTCTTGGATTGCAAGCGAATATGGTAACCTGTGGAACGGACGATGTTTTGTGCTTAATTTCACACGCACATTACTGTTTAATAGAGCGTGTACTCAACGTTCAATCAATCTCTCTATCCGATCCAAAAATCTAACTTGAAAAAATACCAAGAAACAAATATCCAAATTCAGACAAAGGAAGATCATGGGCAACACAGAGCAACGCGCAAGCAACAGATCAAGAGAAGCATCGTGCGCCAAGAGATCTCATATAGAAAATTTGCAGAATATCGTAAGAAATCTCCCATATATTCAACAGATCCCATCGACAAACGACGAATTTATAATTAAAATCCGTAGTCTAGAACCGAAAACAGTGATTACTCAATTTGATGATGAGCACTGGGGTTCGAAACAGCTCTAAGACCGTAGATGAGGAAGCGATTCTAAAAAATTTTCTATCGAGATGGTACGTAAGAGCAGAGAAGTGCGCGATAAGGAGATGTTTACATGCAAAGTCTGATAAGGAGCAAACATCACTGGCTCCCTGGACTGATTTCTGTGTGTCTTCGCACGTAATGTGTCCCTCACCTATTTTGTTACGATCGCAGTCCTTCCGAACTTTCTGTAATAACACCAGTTGACCTCTCCCTAACTTCCGTACCCCTTTTAGTGATAAATACCTTTAGTCACGGGCATTTAAAAAGGAATACAACAGCTATTCGAATGGGACCCTTTCAGTACAAAGATTGCTGATCCATTTTTTGTAGGGTAGTGGAACTTTCAGCACACGAAACTACGTAGAATCGCGCCGATGACTTCTGGCTGGGACCTCCTCGTCTCGCGAATGCTACTATGTGACGAAAGATTGCTCCATGCCCTTGCGATTGATTCACTTGCTCCTTACTGTGTGACTTGTCTGGCCTCTCGCAGAGCGTCTACGCATATATACTGAGTGTATGAGTGTCCAATGCTAAGGATCAACCGGGCCCACTTGGGATGTTTTCGGCGATTTCTTCTGCTCGTTCCGTTACTGCTAATCCAGTTAGCACCAGGCTCATAAGTGAGCCCCACTAGCCACAACTCCACAAAACGGACCTTTTCTAACCTTTATGGTGTCTAACCAAAGTGCAA